TCTCTCTTTTAACATGTTGGTTACTCAATACCATGTCAACTAATTCCATTACGTTATAAATTGTTACTGATATAATGTCAGGGCTTTTAATTGATTGAGATGATACTCTGTCAGCTCTAACTTCAGACCAGAGAACCGTTGAACTTATCTGGACAATAAGATACTGGACTTTATGCTTGGTAGATGCTTGCAATGAAAGAATCTCAACTGAATTTGAACTGTGGTAATGCAACAAGGTGGAGGAATCCACCATGGGGGGAGGGGGGTTGGGGAGGGGGGAATCCCAGTGCCTATAAAACTGTGTCACATAATGCAATGTAATCAATAAAATTTTAAAAAAGACAAAAAAAATTCTCTGGGCTGACAAAACACTGGGATCTCCCATCGCAACTCCAGCTTCAGTTCCGGCTTCTCCCCTTCCATTGCAGTCTCTGCCAATGTACCTGGGAAGGCAGATGGAGACCCACGTGCCTGGGCTCCTACCACCTGTCTGCAGCCCAGGATGGAGTCCCTGGCATGGCCAACCCTGGGAGCAGCCACTTGAGCAGTGAACTAACAGATGGAAGAACTCTCTCCCCTCCACACACACAGTCCTCCAATCATTACCATTTCAAAGAAACATATATTTTTTTTAATTGGAAAGTCAGATATACAGAGAGAAACAGAGACAGAGAGGAAGATCTTCCATCTGATGATTCACTTCCCAAGTGACTGCAACGGCTGGAGCTGTACCGATTAGGAGCTAGGAGCCAGGAGCTTCTCCCGGGTCTCCCACGCGGGTGCAGGGTCCCAAGGCTTTGGGCCATCCTCGACTACATTCCCAGGCCACAAGCAGGGAGCTGGATAGGAAGTGGGGCCACCAGGATTAGAACCAGCACCCATATGGGATCCCAGCACATTCAAGGCGAGGACTTCAGCTGCTAGGCCACTGCACCATACCTGAAATACATACTTTTTAAAAATTAAAAACTCGGGCCCAGCAGTGTGGCCTAGCGGCTTGGGTCCTCGCCTTGAACGCGCATCGGGATCCCATGTGGGCGCAGGTTCTAGCCCCGGCAGCTCCCTGCACCCACATGGGAGAAGTTTCTGGCTCCTGGCTTCACATCAGCTCAGCTCTTGCCATTGTAGCCATTTGGGGAGTGAATTATCATATAGGCAATCTTTCTCTGTCTTTTTCTTTTTAAATCTACCTTTCTAATAAAAATAAACAGATCTTTTGGAAAAAATTATAAACTCTTATGCACCAAAGAACAAAAACTAACAAATCACCTGAACAAATATGAAAATATCTATTCATTCATGGTTTGCTTAGTATTCAGAATAAATCCTTATAAATCAACATCAAACAAAATAATCCACTCAACTTAAAAATGGGTGAAGAGGGAGCTGCCTGTAACACTGAACTCCATACAGGACCAGCTTTCTTCCAATCCAACTCCCTGCTAACATACTTCATAAAACAGCAAAAGATGGTCCAAGTCCTTGGACCTCTGCCACCTATGGAAGAGATACAAGTGGAGTTCCAGGCTCCTGCTTGGTCCAGCCAGAGCCATTATGGCTATCTGAGGAGTGAAACAGTGGGTGCAAGATCTTTCTCGTTCTCTGCCTCTTGATACTTTGCCTTTTAAATACATAAATAAATCTTTTTAAAAAATTAGTGGAGAAGGTTCAGGCCATCTGATTTGGCAATTAAGACCCTAGTTAAGCACCCATTTCCTGAGGAAAGCATGGGCATACAGGCTAATCCTCCAGCTACTAGTGCCAGCATACCAAATGGGCGCCAGTTCATATCCCAGCTGCTCCACTTCTGATCCAGCTCTCTGTTGGTGACCTGGAAAGCAGCAGAAAATAGCTCAGGTCCTTGGGACCCTGCACCGACATGAGAGATCTGGAGGAAGCTCCTGGCTCCCAACACCAGCCTGGCCCAACCCAGCTGTTACAGCCATTTGAGGAGTGAACCAGTAGACAGAAGATATCTTTCTCTCTCTTTCTCCTTCTCTTTCTGTAAAATCTGCCTCTCAAATAAATAAATAATTAAATAAATGCTTTTAAAAAAAGATACCCACTTCCCATGTCACAGATACGCACTTCCCTAGGCTCAGATGTTGGCCCAGATCCTTGCTAACACAGACCCAACTATTCTGGGTACCTGGCTCCTAGCTTCTGTGTAGCATGGCTAGGCCTTGTACATTGAAGATAAGTGGAGAACTGACTGGAGGATGCAGGCTCACTCTGTCTTGGTCTCTTCTCTCCCTCACCCCCTTTCTGTCTTCTGCCTCTCAAATAAATACATACATAAAATGTGCAAGTGGGGTGAGTCACGGTGCAGCAAGCCACACTGCTGCTTGAGCTGGCTACAGTCTAGATCACAGTGTTGGTTCAAGACCCAGCATCTCCACTTAAGATCCAGCTTTCTGCTCACACGTCTTACAATACAGCAGATGATGGCAGAAATGTTTGGTTCCTGCCACTCCTGTGGGAAACCCTGATGGAGCTCCAGATACCTGGCCCAACCTGACATGTTGCAGGCAATGAACCAGTGGTTGGAAGAGCTCTCTCCCTTTCTCCCTTTCCAAAAAATGAAAATAAATTTAAACACATTTTTCAAAATATAAGGGCAAAGGACTGACATTTTACAAAGACATACAAATAAAAGTACCTGAAAGATGCTCAATATCAGCAGGCATTAGAAACCATAAATGAAAGCCACCACAAGGGGGCAGTATCAAGGCACAGCGGCACAGGCCTACACCACCCAGCTGCTCTGCTTCCAATCCAACTTCCTGCTCTCATACCTGGGAGACCAGCTTAAAATGGGCTATACACATGGGCCCTGCCTCCCACGTGGAAGACCTGGCTCCTGAGGCCACTGGGGGATCAGCTGATGGAAGACCTCTCTCTTTCTTTCTCTCTCCCCCCGCTTCCCTCTCTTTACCTCTGCCTCTCCCTCTCTGTCCACTCTGCCTTTGAAATTGCAAAGATAGATAATTTCTTCAAACACAGTGAAATACTCCTTCACACCTACTGGGTATTGGTAATTAATAAACACGTAACAAGTGCTGAAAAAAATTTAAAGAAACTGGAAACTCACACTGCTGCTAGAGAAGCAAAATGGTAGAACACAGCATGGACTCCTCAAACAGTCATACATAGGATTGTTCTATTACCCTGCAAACCCTCTCCTAGGCACACACGCAGCGGCTGGAAATAAGGGTTCAAATGTACAGGTACCCATGTGATGATCATAGCAGCATTCAGAAGCCAACCAGCAAAAGCAGCACACACACCCACTAGCAGACAAATGGCCGAGAATATCACACCCGCAGAGAACACCTCACAGCCGTGGAAAGGAAAGAGGCAGAGAGATGTGTGGAATGATGCAGGCACACACAGGAGGCATACTCCACGACTGTCTTTGTGGGAATGTCAGTCGGGACAGGTGACCCAAGGAGCCAGAGAGGAGAGCTGCACTCAGGGGACAGGCCCCAGGGCAGCTGAGATGTCCCTGCACTCCTCCAGGAAACAGCTCACCACCCATCACACATATTTCACCTCAGTGACAACACCAGACACTATTATTGAACATGGCCCAAGCCCTGCTGTGGCTCCATACATGCAAACTACATGCCCCAGTCAGAAACGCAGAGCCCCAGGCATACCCCGGCCCCTTGTCCAACATACTGTGGAGCAGTAAGTCCAGAAGCCCAGAGGTGTCACGGACCCAGTCCTGTACCCAGAGGCCCCACCAAGTGGGCAGAATCCCTGAAGAAAGGATGTGACTGTTCAAAGCTGTCAGGTGCCCCATCCCCAACTGTCACTCAGAAACCATCCTGGGGCTCCAGGTACCTGGGAATGAGGATGCAGGGTACGTGGGGCACAGCCGCCTCTCCGTGACAGGCTGAGAGGCTCTCGGCTCAGGGGTTTACAGCAGACACCAATCACACTGCCACACCTGGCTGTGCCATTGAGCCATTTTGACCACTAACAGCACCAAGCATGCAGATGCTAGGTCAGGCACATGGGGGCACGGCAAGCCCTGGTCAGTTTTTCCTGTCCCCCACCACATCTCCAAGCAGCTCTCCCCTCCTCTCATCTGGACCAAGACAAGCTCAGAATCAAACACCCTGGAAGTTCGCAAGGTGAACGCAAGCGGTCCACATAGACACTCTCGTTCATGAGAGTGGGAAGAGGGCCACAGATGGAGAACCCAAATCTACCTCACGGTCCCCCAGGTCAGCAGCATCTCCCCATGATCCCTCTGCCTGACTCAAACCCTAAACAACCCACAGCTCCCCCAGCCTGAGCTGACGCAGGTCTAATGCTGATGGTGGCTCAGGTAGAAAGGACCCCTGAGGGAAACACGGACTCAACCTAAACCCCAACCTCAGGCCTAAATCCAGTGCCAGTCCCAATCTCATCTCCTAACCAAACTGAGCCAGCTCTACCCTCTGTGGTTCAGTCACTTCAGACCCAGGAACCAGCACCAGGAGAGCCCTCGGAAGCCCTCACTCTGACAGGAGAGACTGGGAGCCCATGTTCCAGGAAGCTGTGCCCCAGAGACAGGTGGGAAACAGCTGATCACGGGGAGGCACACCAGCCCACAGCCCCGGAGGCCTTGGGGCTCAAGCACCTCCATCCCCTAGCCCAGGAATGCCAGGGCTCCCCTCACAAACTGACCAGTGAGAGTTCATACCCCGGCCCCAAAGGACGCTGCTGCCCTTCCTCCAGTCCCATCCTTGCTGCTCCTTTTCCAAAAGGATAGAACTGGGGTGCTCACTCCCTCTGGGCACCACTGTGCCCACATGCCCAGGGGTATTTCCCAAGACCCAGTGGGAAAACAGGCTTCCAAGTACAACTTTATCCACACAGCCCAAGCTGAGGCACACACCCAGGTGATCTCACACTTCTGTCACCTCCACACAGGCCAACCCTGCATGGGCCTTGAAAAGATCCTGTGATGCAACGTAGGCTGGAGGCGGGCCCAGGACTCACTCACTCACCAACGTCAGAGTCCTTGTGTGTCTTGATAACTTCAGCAAGCTCAAAGTTCCCAGCAATGATCGCCACCTGATTGGGGGACACAGAGGAGTCTGGCTGCACTTCTGCCCACAACTGGGACATGGTGACCATGGGGGACCACCAGAACACACACCTCCCCTCCCTGTTCAGCCCAGCCCCGCCCCACCCCATCCACCCCAAGTGCTTGCCCATGTGCCCAGTCTACTGGGTCCCTCACCTCTCAAAACGTCCCACCCTGGCAGTTAACAACCATGCACTGGGCCACTCAGCCCAGTGTCTGCCAGATTCAGGCTCCCAAGGGGTCAGGCCCACACAACTTTCTGTTCCTCCCACCTACCCCAACCCAGGCCCCAGTGACCCGGCTCTCTCCATGCAGGGGCCATGGGACTATATGGGCAGTTGACACCCCTTCTCCCCCTGCCCTGGCAGCATCGGACACTGGAAGCCCCACATTCCAGGAAGCCCCGCCTGTAGCCAGCATGCCCGCACCTGGAAGGCCGTCTGGCTGTTGTAATTGCGGACGTCCTTGTCGGCTCCCCGGAAAAGGAGCACACGAGCACAGCTCTCCTGTCAGGGAAGGCAGAGGTCACAACCGTGGCAGCAGATCTGAGGTCAGCACATAACAGCACATGTGCTTGGGGGGCAATACACAACGGAACAAAGGCACAGGACGCACATGCATGCTTGCTTAGCCGACATGACCAGGATTCGGGGCAGCAGATCCCCACTACTATCTAGAACACAGGAGGGCACGTGGGTACGTGTGTGTCTAGAAACAGACATGTACCCTGAGCCTACACGGCCACGTCATGACCAATACATAACATGCAGCATAGCACATGCCGGGAAGAGCACATGGGCACCCTCGTGTACAGGGAGAGCACATGGACACACAGGTACACGGGGAGAACACACAGGGAGAGCACATGTACACAGGGAGAGCACATGGGCACACCTGTGTACAGGGAGAGCACACGGGCACACATGTACACGGGGAGAGCACATGGGCACACATGTACACAGGGAGAGCACATAGGCACACATGTACACAGGGAGAGCACACAGGCACACATGTACACGGGGAGAGCACATGGGCACACTTGTGTACAGGGAGAGCACATGGGCACACATGTACACGGGGAGAGCACATGGGCACACTTGTGTACAGGGAGAGCACATGGGCACACATGTACACAGGGAGAGCACACAGGCACACATGTACACGGGGAGAGCACATGGGCACACTTGTGTACAGGGAGAGCACACGGGCACACATGTACACGGGGAGAGCACACGGGCACACATGTACATGGGGAGAGCACACGGGCACACATGTACATGGGGAGAGCACATGGGCACACATGTACACGGGGAGAGCACACGGGCACACATGTACACGGGGAGAGCACATGGGCACACATGTACACGGGGAGAGCACATGGGCACACATGTACACGGGGAGAGCACACGGGCACACATGTACATGGGGAGAGCACACGGGCACACATGTACACGGGGAGAGCACATGGGCACACATGTACATGGGGAGAGCACACGGGCACACATGTACACGGGGAGAGCACATGGGCACACATGTACACGGGGAGAGCACATGGGCACACATGTACACGGGGAGAGCACATGGGCACACATGTACACGGGGAGAGCACATGGGCACACATGTACATGGGGAGAGCACATGGGCACACATGTACATGGGGAGAGCACACAGGCACACATGTACACAGGGAGAGCACATGGGCACACATGTACACGGGGAGAGCACATGGGCACACATGTACACGGGGAGAGCACATGGGCACACACGTACACGGGGAGAGCACATGGGCACACATGTACATGGGGAGAGCACATGGGCACACATGTACATGGGGAGAGCACATGGGCACACCTGTGTACAGGGAGAGCACATGGGCACACATGTACATGGGGAGAGCACATGGGCACACATGTACATGGGGAGAGCACATGGGCACACGTGTACATGGGGAGAGCACACGGGCACACATGTACACAGGGAGAGCACACGGGCACACAGGTACACAGGGAGAGCACATGGACACACAGGTACATGGGGAGAGCACACGGGCACACATATACACAGGGAGAGCACACGGGCACACATGTACACAGGGAGAGTACATGGGCACACATGTATACAGGGAGAGCACACGGGCACACATGTACACAGGGAGAGAACACAGGCACACATGTACACAGGGAGAGCACATGGGCACACATGTACAGGGGGAGAGCACATGGGCACACATGTACACAGGGAGAGCACACAGGCACACACATATACCCCACGCACCATACCTATACACAAGCACACATTCGCAGAACATCTACCTGGTTGTAGAGGGCACACACATGCAAGGCTGTGTTCCCCGAGGCGTTCTGGGCCCCCATGTCAGCTCCGTAGAACAGTAGGTGCTCCAGGTGCTGTACGTGGCCAAAGCGGCAAGCCTGGGAAGGGATTTGAGGTATGCAGCACTGGGACAAACTGGAATTCCACCATGGACAGAACTGAGGACCCCTCTGGCCACGCATGGGCCTGGACACACCCTCTGGCCCATGCCCACCTGGTGGATCTCCTGCCAGCCATTCTCATCCCTGGTCCCCAGCTGGGCATGGTCATGGAGAAGCAGCTCACAGCAGAGGGCATCCCCGCCCCCTAGGGCACTGTGGTACAGGGCAGTCAGGCCACGGCTGTCCTTGTAGTCTGGCGATGCCCCCAGGTCCAACAGGGTCTGTGAGTCACAAAAGCAGGTGTCTATGCAGACTCCACCCCTTTCCTAGGACCAAGCCCCGTCCCCAGGCCTGCCTCACTGACCGTCAGTGCCCCAGCATTCCGCTGGCGTGTTGCACAGTGAACAGCAGTCAGCCCGTCCCGGGTGCGGAAGTCAAGGTGTGCCCCACCATTCCGCAGAACCTTCAGCAAGTCTGTTGAATCATCCAGCTGGGCTGCCAGACTCAGGGGGCACTCTGAGTCCAGAGGACAAGGAGTGGTCAGGGTCCCCATCCCCTGTCCCTCAAGGCCATGACCCTCCCAGTTCTGCTCCTCACCTCCTGAGTCAGGGTCATGGAAGTTGGGGTCCAGCCCCTTGTCCAGCAGGCGGGCCACCTTGTCTGTGCTGTGCAGCTGGACATAGTCCATGAACTTCTTCAGGTTGGCCTGCAGCACCAGGGTCCCAATCAGCTGGCACTAAGGCCACCACCTTTTGGCCATCACAGGTCTTCCTCCCAGGAGCTTTAAACTACCCACAGCAGGTGTGTACTGCCACCCCTGCATCAGCTGTGCTCATCCACCCCCATGGCTCCCAGCCCTAGGTGCCCCTGCCTTGGTCCACTCAGGACGCACTAGGGACTAGCGAGGCTGCCCAGGGACCTTTGCCCAGGAAGCGGCCCCAGGTGGCCAGGCCAAGGTCACAGCACAGGAGTCCTGAGGAGCCAGCCTCACCACACCCAGATTGCCACCAAGGGCCATGTCATCCTGAGACAGGCAAGCAGAGTGATGGCCACTGGCTGCCTCCTGCCCTGGGCAGTACCAAGCCAGATGGGGTCATGGGGCACAGGGGTCTCCCCACAGCCTCCTGGACCCATCCAAGAGGAACCCAGCAACCCTGAGTGGAGTCTCAGCCCATGAGCCCATAGGAAGTTGTGCTGCACCCAACCTGGCCCTGCCATGCTCGGAGAAGACTACAGGGCCCCCAGGTCTCCAAGCAATAGACTGCCAGACTGGCTGGGCCCAGGGCTGGGGTCAGGCAGGAGCAGCTGCAAGGAAGTGACATCCCTGCTCAGCTCTGGGATTCCAGCTGGAAAGGGGACAGCGGCCCCTCTGCAGAGTAAAAGAGGCTTGGACCTGGTGACCAAGCATGGCTCCTGCCCACATCCAGTGCTTGCCCACTCCCTTTGGCACCCTGACCCCAGCTGGGGACCCAGCATGCACCAGCAGGTTCTGGTGGGACTGGCACTTCTGGCCGCAGCTGCCCACTGCCCTGCCAGAGCCTGAAAGGAAGAGGACTCAGGTTAGCCCCCAGTCAGGGTGGACGCTAGGCTTTTTGTTACCTTTGTGTGAAGCTTGGCAAACTGCTTATCATCAATGAGGTTCTGGGCATAAACTCGCCGCTTGTATCGGAACTGCTCAGAGACACAGGGGAGAAAATCTTCACCCATCCCTCAGCTGCCCATCACCCAACCTCAGCCATCCATCACCCATCCATCGCCCATCCTCATCCATCCATCGCCCATCCCTCAGTCGCCCATCACCATCCTCAGTCGTCCATCACCCATCCTCACCCATCCATCGCCCATCACTTAACCTCAGCCGCCCATCGCCCAACCTCAGCCGTCCATCGCCCATCCCTCATTCATCCATTACCATCCTCAGCCGTCCATCGCCCATCCCTCAGCCGCCCATCACCCAACCTCAGCCGTCCATCACCCATCCCTCAGTCATCCATCACCATCCTCAGCCGTCCATCGCCCATCCTCACCTGTCCATCGCCCATCCCTCAGCCGCCTATCACCCAACCTCAGCCATCCATCGCCCATCCCTCAGTCACCCATCATCTAACCTCAGCCGCCCATCGCTCATCCCTCAGCCGCCCATCCCTCAGCTGCCCATCACCCAACCTCAGCCGCCCATCGCTCATCCCTCAGCCGCCCATCCCTCAGCTGCCCATCACCCTAACCTCAGCTGCCCATCACCCAACCTCAGCCGCCCATCACCCTTCCCTCAGTCGTCCATCACCCATCCCTCAGCCATCCATCACCATCCTCAGTCGTCCATCACCCATATTCAACTGCCCATCTCCCATCTCTCAGCCACCCATCCCTCAGCCATCCGCCACCCAACCCTCAGCTGTCCCTTGCCCATCCCATAGCTGTCCATCTCCCGTTTCTCAGCTGCCCATTGTCCACAGCTGTCCATCACCCATCCCTCAGTTGGCCATCATTCATCCATCAGATGCCCATCACCCATCCATCATCTGTCCATCACCCACATCCCACAGCCGTCCATCACCCATCCCTCAGCTGTCTGCCACCCAACCCTCAGCTGTCCATCACTTATCCATCAGTTGCCCATCATCCATCTTTCATCTGTCCATCAACCATTGCCAGTTGTCAACCACTTGGTGAACCAAGGGCACTGTCCACCCCACCTCTCCCAGCAACCCACCCTCAGGGGCAGGATGGCAGGAGGCAAGCATCTGGCTCTCCCTGGCTGTAAGGCCTTCCTCCCACAAGCCCATACATCCCTGAAACCAGCCACCACCACCCCTCCCCCAAGCCTGGCCCAGTTTCACCTCCACACCTCCCTAAGCTGCACTGCAGTTCTCTCAGGGCTGAGGGCAAGGCCATCCGTCTCCCTCTTCCCCAGCACAGGCTGCATCTCCCACTCACTCCTGACAGTGCAATGGGGAGCAGGGTACTCACAGCAAGGAGGCCAGATGTGCACACAGCCCACTGCACAGTCTTCTGTACCCTGCTCACTATACATGGCTCTGCACACTGACCACTGCACATGCTCACTGCACACCAACCACTACATGCACTCACTGCATACCACCCCTGCCCACATTCACTGCATAAGGCTCTACAAACCACCCACTGCACATGCTCACTGCACATGTTCACAGCACATCACCCACTGCACACCTCACTGTCCCAAGAGGACTCCCTGCACACTGACCACACACCTCTCTCCCCACAGGCGCACTGCACTTGCACATATTTACTGCACATGGCTCTCCACACATCGCTCACTATTAACCCTGACCGGGATGCCCCCGCCTGGCCCCCAGTCAGCCGCCCACCTCCAGGTAGGGCAGAGGCGTGTCCAGGTTGGGCGGGTAGTCCTGCAGGAGCCGCTCTTCATCTAGGAACTTGCCGGCACGGCCCCGAGAGGGTGGCTGGAAAAGCCCGTAGTTGAGCGCGTCCTGGAGACTGTGGTTGAGCGCGCAAAGCACTCGTTGCTTCGCGGCCCACACGGGCGCGGCCGGGTCCAGGCGCAGACACTTCTGCAGTGGCGAAGCGGTCTCCTGAGTGCGGCCCGCCCTCGCCCGGCCAGGACCGCGCCCCGGGAGCCCCCGCGGGAGTTGGGGCTCAAAGCCCGCGCCTCCGCGGCCCCGCCCCGGGGGCCGGGCTTCTCCGGGCCCCGCCCCAGCGAGGGGGAGGGTCCCGGCGGAGGCGGCGGGGGAGGGGTGAGTAGCCGCGGGCCAGGGGTCCGGCGCGCCCGGCCGGGGGCCTGGGAAGCTGCGGGGCTCTGCGGGCCGCGCGCGGGGGCTCACCGTCTGCTGCAGGTCCGGGATGCCCACGCGCACGACCACGGCGCTGGCCCCGGGGCCGTCCATGCCCGCGCCGGGGCCGCTGGCGGCCGGGAGAGGGGCGCACGGGGACTCCGCGCGGCGCCCCGGCCCCCCCTGGCCCCCCGCCGGAGCCCCGCCGGCCGCGCTGCGCGGGAGGGGGCCGGGGGAGGCCGGGGCCGGGGCCGGCGCGGGGGACAGCGGCTCCGGGGGCTCCGCGGGCGCGGCGGCGCGGCTCAGCTGCATCGGCCCCGGCTCCGCTCGGCGCCTGCCTTCCCCGGGGGCGGGGGCGGCGGGGGGAGGGGGCTGCGCCGGGAGGGGAGCGGGGGCGGGGAGGGGGCTGCGCCGGCGGCGGGGGCCGGGAGGGCTCGGGGCCGGGAGGGTGGGAGCGGGGGGCCCTCGGGGTCCCGGCGCGGGTGCGCGTGGGGCGAGGCGCGGGCCCCGGGGCGGGGGCCCTGGGGGGGCGTTCGGCGGGTGGGGGGAGCCGGGGCCGGGGGGAGTGGCTGAGCCGCGCGGGCCCCGCCGCCTTGCGCTGCGTGCGGGCACCCGCGGGCCGGGAACCGCGCGGCGGAGGGGAGGTCCAGAAGCGGGGTCCGCGTGGGGGCCGAGGGCTGCAGACACTGCTGGAGTGGAGCGGAAGGGCAGGAGCGCTGGTTTCTGGAGGTGACGGCCGCCCCCCTGCGAGCTCTTAGCGACCCCTACTCTGGACCCGACCTTGGAGACCTCGGCCCGGAGGCCGGGGTGCTTCCCCCGCGCCGCCCCCGGCGCGCTCGGAGTTAACCCTTCGGCTCAGACTTTGGGAAGTGGGTCGTGATCCCCAAGCCCCTCTCCTGCCCCCACACCCCAACCCCTGGGTCAGCCTGGAGCCAGTGCCCATCGCCCCTTCCGCGTCGCCCCCTCCCTGTCGGCCAAGGATGGCGCGCGACCCACAGGAAGGTTTAGGGGAGGGGGCGCAGCCGGCTCCACCTGCGGCGGGGAAGTGAATTTTAGTTTCTCACGTTGTCGTGGCAACGCGGGTGGGGAGGAGAGTAGGCGGTGGAGGGGAGCACAGCGCAGGATCGGCAAGCCGAGCCGCCGCCCCCTGTAGACTGCCGAGCCCTGCCCCAGGCCTGGGAGAGCAGAGACCCCGTCCCAGGGAGCAGAGAGTACCCCAGGACCCCAGCCCAGGGAGTAGAGGACCGTCTAGGGTTCAGAAGAGCTCAGGTCTGACCCCTGCACTTGACCTCCACAAAAATCTAGCGGAGGGGACGCCTCTGGAGGCAAAAGCGGTCCCCGACAGTTACCCAGTGGCTAGGGACACCCTGAACCTGCCCAACGCCACACCTAGGATCCCCTTCATCCCTTCCAGCGCCCCCTGGCTCCAAGCAAGTGGAGTCCCCATGAGGACGCCCCTTCCCGAGACTACGCACCCCTTTCGCCAGGCCTCCGTGTCTGTGCCTCCTGTGCCGTCTGTGGAACTGGTTTCTCCCCAGCCCAGGACCCCCGCCCTGCAGGGGAAATAAGGCCCCTCCCAGGGCTGCTGAGGGTCCCCCAGGGACAAAGCAGGATGGGAGTAGGGGTGGAGGGAGCAGGAAGGGGCCCCAGGCTCCCTTATCTGCAGGAAGCACCTTGGCAGGCAGAGGTTGGACTTCCCATGGCCCAAGCCCAGGGAAAGGAAGCCCAAGCTTCCTGCCCTCGTGTCTCCATGGTCTTCCTGCCCTTGTCTGTCCAGGCCGTGCTACTCTGGCCCTGCTCCCCTCTGCCCTTCCTACCAAGCCAGGCCTTGCCCTCCGGCTCCCGGCCTCTTGTGTCAGTGGAAATGCCAAGGGGCTGAATAGAGCGTAGCAGGACCTGCCACTTGGTGGACGCGATAGAAGGAGGCTGCCCCTCTCCGCAGCCAGAGCTCGAGGACCCCTCAGGGCCTCCTGGGTGGACCCTGAGCCCCAGGCCGTCCCAGCTAGCAACGCAGCCAAGCTGCTGAGCCTGTGATTGGGAGAAGCCTGACCCTCAGAGCAGGACCGTGCCACCCGCTGCCCAGAGCCCGCCCTGCCCCACTCCTGGCTCCGACATGCAGTGGCTGAAGTCCTTGGGTCCCTGCCACCCACGTGGGAGATCTGGTTTGCATGTGGTTGTGGGCGTTTGGAGACTGAACCAGCAAGTGGCAGATCTGGCTGGCTGACCATCTCTTTGCCTCTCAAAGCCAGAATGTCGTTGGTAACAGGACCCTGCAGGTAGGTGGTCCCTGGCCTTACAGAGCCCGGTCTGACTGGGCAGGTCCCACACAGTGACCTGTGGTCTGAGCCATTGCCACCTGGCAGCAAGCAGAAACCGCAGCGAGACATGCTCACGGGGTCCTGCCTGCCAGGCCCTTGCGCAGAGACTCCCCAGGAATGGCCAGCTCAGCTTCCCTGGCCCACACTAGATGGCCCCTCTGCTGCCCCCTCCTTGCATCAGGGCCAAAATTCTGGAAAAATTTGTTCTCGCCTTCCCCACTCCTTCTCCACCTCCTACAATGCAAGAGACAGAGAGAGCCGCCTGGGCCTGGGGGTGCTCTTAGGCAGATCACCCAGAAAAGTGCCTGGCACAAGCGTGGGAGCCCCCACCCAACAGTTCCCAGCACTGCACCTAGTGCCGTCAGGACACACAGTGTACCCAGCACCCTAACTGCTGGCCAAGCCCTCAGTGCCACGGGCTCCTCCTGTCTCCGACAACCCAGCCTTTCCCTGCTAGCCTTGGAGTCCAGGCCCTCAGGCTTCTCTCAACTGCTCCCATTACCCCATGCACCTGCCTTCACTCAGCTACCTCAGAGGTTGATCCCACAGGTGTGCCTCTGTCCTGGTTCCCTTTGTCTCCATGACAGCTGATGGGGGTGGGGAACCTGTCTCTGCAGTCCCCCCACCAGGCTGTCCCTTTCCTCTTGCTCTCTGTCCCCAGGTGGACCCGCCTTGCCTGCATGCCCCCTCGTCCCTGTCAGACGTCTGCTGATGCATGCAATAGCTCGTGACGCTGTAGCTCGTGGGCTCTGTGCCTGCTGTCCATCTGTCTAGGACGCAGCGTATGCTCAGCACCCCTGCTGAGTAGAACAGCTCAGGTCCACCCCAGCCTAAGTTCCAGGGCAGTGTGTGGAATGTGGGGGCCCTGGGGCCTACTGCTCACCAGGCTAAGACCCTGTGGGGGATCTCCTGCCCAGGACCACAGTGTCGGCGTGGCAGTCCCTACTTCAGTTCCAACTGCAGCTCCTACTGTGCATGCCCTGGGAGGTAGCACCTGCTTAGTCCCCTGCAGCCATGTGGGAGACCCACAGCATAGTTTCGCCAGCCAAGCCCTGGCTATTGTAGACATCTGGGGAGGGGGGCACACCAACGGATGGGAGATTTTGTCCCCTCCCACCTCCCTCCCACTCTGTCAAAAAAAATTGAATACAAGTATGTTTAGTTTTATAATACATCATGCCATAATATGTGGAAAACATGTCCTAAAAATTGCTCAGGCACGGTGTGATGGCTCAGTGGCTAGCCCTCCGACCTGCAAGTGCCAGCAACCCACATGAAAGGCAGTTCATGTCTCCACTGCTCTACTCCCCATCCAGCTCCCTGCTTGTAGTCTGGAAAAGCCATTGAGAACAGCCCAAAGCCTTGGGACCCTGCACCCATGTGGGAGACCTGGAAGAAGCTTCTGGCTCCTGGCTTCAGATCGGCTGAGCTCCGGCCATTGTGGCCATTTGAGGATTGAATCAGCGGATGGAAAACCTTTCTGTCTTTCCTTCTCTCTCTAAATCTGCCGTTCCAAGAAAAATAAAGCTTTTTTAAAAATTACACATAAACTGGGCCCGGCGCGGTGGCGCAAGTGGTTAAAGGTCCTCGCCTTGCACGCCCAGGATCCCATATGGGCGCCAGTTCTAATCCAGGCAGCCCCGCTTCCCTTCCAGCTCCCTGCCTGTGGCCTGGGAAAGCAGTCGAGGACGGCCCAAAGCTTTGGGACCCTGCACCCGCGTGGGAGACCCGGAAGAGGCTCCTGGCTTTGGATCAGCATAGCATCGGCCATTGCGCTCACTTGGGGAGTAAATCATCGGACGGAAGATCTTCCTCTCTGTCTCTCCTCTCTGTATATCTGTCTTTCCAATGAAAAAAAAATTTAAAAAAAAATAAAAAATAAATTACACATAAACTGTCAGAGGTTTTTTTTGCACCAAAACTTTAATTCTGGTTTTCCAGAAATGTTTGAAGAAACCTTGTGTGTGATACCTGCATTATCTCCTTTAAGCCAAGCTCCCGAGTTATCCTGCTAGCATTTTGTCCAGTTAATTGATATGCTACTGTAACAGTGACTTCCATCAGTTTCTTTTTGAAATTTTGCCAGTTTTCTTATATTTGAGGGTTTTGTTAGTAAATGCTAATGGTTTTAGAATCATTAGCACTTCCTGGTAAACTGTTCCTTGTATCACTCTGTGGGACCAATCTTTTTCCCAAGGTTTAAATTTTTGCTGCTTCAATAGAGCGATATTTTAGTGGTACAGTACTTTTCTTGGCATTAGCTAGAACTGGTTTTGAAGCCATTGGATATTGTACCAGCCAGGAGGCTCATGGTCTGTTTGTCCCTTTGGGGTGACCCAGGCTCCATTCCATTTCAGTCTGGCAAAGGGGGTGGGGGACACGCAGCTCCAGCTAGCATCGCCATTGGCTAGTGCTTCCAGCGTGGAGGCCTCGCAGTGACTGTATGACCCATGGCTGCTGCCTGGCACAGCTCTGCCCCTGCTGTGCCCCGTACCCTCACAAAGGCGCCTCCATCTGGCTGCTCTCAGCAGTGAGTTGGCTGCAATGTCCTTTCCACAAGGCCTATCCTCCTTACCCGTCCCCCAAGTTCCCTTTGTCCATGCAGCCTGTCTGCTTGTGTCTGTGTCTGGCTAGCCACACAAGAGGCTGGGTTGCTTTGCCAGGTTCCTCCCTGGGTTGCTGTTCTCCTGGGCTCCCAAGTTCCCCCTACCTGCCGCCTGTCCCTCAACACCATCAGGACCAGTCTTACATAAGCGTCTCCAACACTTGTGAGTGAAGGAGCGGAAGGGCGCAGGGACAGCTGGGAGCCTGCGATCCTGTCCTGCTGCATGGGTGCTGCACTGTTTGCAGCTCCAGCCCTGGTGGGAGCAGTTGTGGAAGGCAGCGGTTCTGAAGGGTTTAGTCTCAAAATCTGGCGTCACTTATGCTTTTCCTGCAGTTTTTTGCAGCTAGGAAATATTTCCTCCTCCACCCCAGGCTGAGGGTCTTCAGGGG